AAAAAAAAAAAAAAAAAGAATATAAGCCATTCTCTAAAATTAAGCCCCAGTTAACATCATTAACTAGATGAGTGCAGTGAGCATGTCCACTGTAAAACATGGTGGATGTACTGAATTACAGTGAGTCCCCAACTTATGAACATTCAAAGTATGAATTTTCACAGATATAAACACACCTTGCATACAGAGATGCAGACATATCATGGAAGAGGCGCACGTGTCTGCTGCATGCCGTCGTGCTTGTGCTGCTGTGTGTTTGCTGTGTGCTTGGTGCAGTAGGGCCCAGTAGCACAGCGCTCAGGCAGGGCCCAGGATGTCCGGAAGCAGGCGAAAGCGGTGGTGGTGTGGAGTGGACTGCCGAGAAGGACAAGGCGTTACGGTGTACATTTGTGTCAGAGGTGTATAAGGCTCACTTGGTTGGACTTGCGAATGAATCCGACTTAAGAACGTTCTCCCAGACTGGAACTGGTTCTTATGTTGGAGACTTACCATATAAAATTGTAATATTAATATACAGTTAAACATGAATAAATATTATTGACATTAATATTTTAAGTAAATGAAAATAGTTAAGGTAAATAATAATAAAAATTACAATTAAGTGCTTGTGAATACCCACGTGGGCACTTCTGGGTGGGAGGCAAATGCCTGTGTAAGCAGACGACCTCAAGACTTATTGTCAAATGACCAATCAGAACAGACACAACACACTAGAGACGTGTGCACTTGACCATGCATGCATGTGCCGGTGTCTAACATGAGCCTTCATAATTCAGTACATCGTGTGTTGTAATGATATGCTACCAATGCTGAGAACAAGCAGGAAATAATTCATCTTAATAAATTGGTATAAAAATAAATTGAGAGTCTGTCTTAGGCCTACATGACTTACAACGAAAGCCATGGCTGGCTTAAGGACACATTAATCTTTAAACCAAAGACCAGAGCTGAGGCCAGCAAAGAGTCTGTGAAATTCTGGTGCCTCACAGCAAGATAACATGGCAGCTGAGGACTTTGACTCATGCAAATTCCTTCAAGCTCAGTAGTCACAGTTAGCAGACAATTGGGCTACTCGTAACCTCGATCTGTTCCTGTGTGCTTTTCCAAAAATGCATTGTTCAATTCTTGAACCTGACCACATTAGCAGTTCGCCCCCACCACTTCCTGCAGCCCACCAGCATACCACTCAATCAAGCTGTACATCTAATAAAAGCCAAGGACACCACGCTTTACAGTCCTAGTCCCTCCTTGGGCTCTGTCCATCCTGGTGCCCCTTGTAACTAACATATATCTTTTGTCTGTGTTTTATTCTGTTGTCATATCTCTGAGCAGATCGGTGGTCCTAGGCCAAAGTCCAGATATACCAACAGACTACATGGACAAGCAGTGTTCATTTAAGGAGAGCTCTACTGCTGGACATGAGAGATTAAGACAAATGGTTCTACAGGCGATGGAGTAACCAGAAATTCAGGGATTTGAATCCAGGAAAGGATTCAGGTTTTGGAGAGTTATAATCATGTTCCAAAACAAGATGATATGACTATATTTGAAGAAATGTAGATGTTTATACATGAATGTAGATTTTTACATGAACAAGAGAATAAATGTAGACTGTTATACATAAATAAATATAGAATGTCATACACTGAAAAAGTAAGATATACTCTGAAAATAAGTTTTATTGCATCTTTTGACCCAAATCTTATTTTCAGGGAAATACCATATGTATTGTCTTTATAATGAAGAGGTTTTCTCTTTTAGGATTCACTTAGTATAGGAGCATGTGCAACCAGCCAAAAGGGCTTACCATTCTCAGTCATGTTCAGAATAGCCTGCTGTCTCTGCCATGTGTTACAAGGAACTCCCTGTACACTGCCCTCCACGGCACCTGAAGATATATTAGTAATGGACACCATGTTAGCGCTTGGTCACTATAACAAACACCTGAAACAATCAGCTTAGTAAGAGGAGAGGCTTTATTGTGGCTCATAGTTTTGGAGGTGTTGGTGCATAATAGGTTGGACTTACTGCTTTTAGGCTTGTAGCAAGGCAGTACTTTGTGGGGAAGGGACATATAGCAGAGCAAAACTACCCACTTTATGGTCAGGGAGCAAAAAGAGAGAAAGAGGAAGGGGTTGGGTCCCATAACCCCCTTTGGGACCACCCTTGGTGACCTGAAGACTGTCCCCAGTGCCCTACTCCTTGACATTTCCACCACCTCCCAAAAGCAGCACTCCAGGAAAAATGGGCCCTTGGAAGGCACTAAAGTTTCACTGTCTAGCAGATGCCTAGTGTCAAGCTCAGCCTCCTGCTATCCAATGTGAATGGTACCGAGCAGAGGAAGTGCTGAGGCCTTGCTGTAGGAGGATGCAGCTCTACCTTCCACTAGGCTGAGCGTCCCTGCTCACTTATGCATGTCTTGTTGTAGAACAAGAATAGCTTTTCCTCATTCTTCCTAGGTTCATAGCTAAAGCCCTGAAAACTAAGAACAGTTTAGGAAGGGAAAAACACTCATATTTATTTAATATAACTTATGTGACAGACACACTTTCATAGAAATGAAGAAAATCTTAGACCTGTTTTTCATGGTAGGGATGTTAAAGACTAGGCAGTCATATGATGACAGGGCAAAGAGTATGACATAATGGTGATGAAAGGCGGAATCAGCAAAGCCTGTTTGTATCCTTCTACATGACAGAGTTCAGAGACAAGGATACTACTCCTCTCCTCAGGTACATGGAGGGCATCTGTTCTATGACTTGCCTCCAAGGAGAACAAAAAAGACAGTAGAGAAACCTTCCTGCTTCTTCAGGTTTCTCAAATCCCTTCAGCTTAAGTGATTCCACCTGCCAACATGCCAAACCTTGAAGCAGGCTGTCCTGATCCACTGCTAGTGTTTGTTTTGTTTTCTCAGTCCCTACAGGTCAGCTGTGTCCCCACTATTTTGCCCCCTCTGTCCCCCTGAAGCCTGTGTTTTACCTTTGAACACTCTATGCTCCTGCTACGTGATAACCTTGGATGAGACACCAAAGGGCATAGAAAGGTCACTTGACTAGGAGCACAGGAACAAAATAGGCCTGAATATAAACCCTGACCTCACCCTTACTAACCACACAGTCTTAGAGAGCATACCTCACTTACCCCACATGTCTGAGTCTCAGTTTACTCAACAGAAAGGTAAGGTTTATTAGAAAGTCTATGCCACCAGATTGGTCTAAGGATTAAACAGGATGCACCAGGTATCACTGGATGCCCAAACGCTGGCCTCTGGTACCACTGTTATGTTAGTAAGAGGCTGAGGAGCACCAAGGATGGCTGGCATCTCAGAAGGAATATGAATTCTACAGAAGCAGGACTTGAGGCCAGAAAACCTGAGCTGGGAACCTCGCCCTCTTTGTGAAGTTAGCCAGTCACGGCACTCTTTCAGCTTCAGTCTCCACAAGTTGTAAAACTGTGACAAAAATGAAAAATACTGCTGCTACTATTATTAGTGGGCTTCAAGGGCTTTTGGGAAAACTAAATACAATAATGCAAGTAAAAGTGTTTCCAAAACTACAAACAGGCATATCAATATCAATAAGTATAGATTTCACACAATTTTCAACATTCCTAAGATTGGCCCTGACAAGTTGAAAATAAATGGATTCTCTAGGATTAGAAATTCAAGCACATGAGAATCAATTTGTATGCCTACCTGAACTAAAACATCCAACTCAATAAAGCACAGGCCTCTGGATGATCCCCAGATCCAGAACAGATCCACAAGTTTTCTCAATGTGTTAGGAACACAATTAACCAGATGGTTTTATTGGATTCAGCAACTGTCTACTGTTTACCTGGCATAAAATCGTACATTGCCTGTCTTAGTTATACTCTTATCATTGAAACACAACACCAAGCCCTCTTGCCCTCAAGGATTAAGTCTGGGTCCAGTGGACTCATCCTTTACTTTTCTACTATAAATTTTTACTTTGGCATTAGAGTGGCCAGCTGTGCATCTCAGTACCTTTCCCTGAAGGATACAAGAAGCAATCCGTTTGCCTACTTGGTATGACAAATGCCAAGGAGTGTGCAGGTATGTAAAAGTGTCAAAACAAAATTTGGACCCACTTTTATGCTCCATCAAACAGGTTTTTCATGTTTACCCAAGCACCAGAGAGGGTCCAACAGACCCACACCATGCCAGGGCTTGTTAAAAAAATGATTTTTTTTTTCCAATAGAAGTAGCCTAACTCAGTACAATGGCACATGAAAAATCAGATCTACAAATTTTGGAGGAGGTTAAAATGAATCATCAGATTGCTCATGCATGGATGATGAAGATGACATTATAGTGAAACCCATGCTTTCATAACAGAAGAGTGGTGTGGGTTGATGACGACGGTGATGACCTTGATGCTGGCCCTGTGAGCCACCTTTCCTGTGACAGTGAAATGGAGCAAGAATGAACTGGCACAGACACAGGCAATGCAGACCCCCTTGATTCAGATGACAAAGAAAACAGCAAGTGAGTACGTATTTGACTAAATTTTGCAAATGGTCACACAACCAAGTGAAACGATCTAATGTTACAACTAGGTCCAAAAGGATAGTGTTTTTTGTTTTTTTTTTATTTTAGGGAAGGGTCTACAGGGTGCTCAGGGTCTCACTACTAGATCAGACAGGTAGTGATCCACCTGTTTACAGCTTCCCAACAGCTAGGATTACAGGCGCAGGCCACCAGGTCCAGTCTCAATTGCCTTCTCAACATGCCCCGGGGGTGGGGCTGGCACAGCAGACCAGGCGGGGATCAAACTCCTGGCCCCTGCGCCCCTTGCAAGTGCTTTAATCTGCTGAGCTCTTTGGTTGGCCCTCAGTGAAGCTCTTAGCACAAGTGAAACGTGTTATACAGAATGCCAGCCCTGCCACTCAGTGTTAGAAACTGTAGCAGATGAAATGCTACAAGATGCTATGAAATACAGAAAGGCTGAAATGCACATAAGATTTTTTTTTTTTTTTTTTTTTGCAGAACCAGGGATTGAACTTAGACCCTTGTACTTGCCAAGGAAGCACTTATTCTACTGAGCCATCTCCCAGGTCCCAATGTTCTGTATGCACCAATAGCTAAATAAATGTATTTATTATGATACCTCATTAGCTGAACTAAAAGCGTTCATAGGCCTGCTGTACTTAACAGATTTCTCATGGTGATCACAGGAATGTAAAACTTATGAAACAAGCAATGGATCAAAATGTGGCATAAAAATGTATGCCCCTGTAGATGCAAAGACTTATTCTTCCAATTTAGACATTTACCCTGGAGCTCAGCCATCAGATCCTTATTCCTGTAGTAATAAACCAAATGATGTGAACAGACTTGTTGCTCCCATCTCCCAAACTAATCAGAATGTGACATTCAGCAGTTGGCTTGCCACTTTCCAATTGATGGTACTTTTTCTTTTTTTCTTTTCTTTTTTTTTTTTTTTTCTTTCTTTTCAGAACCGGGGATTGAACTCAGGCCCTTGTGCTTGCCAGGCAAGCACTTATTCTACTGAGCCATCTCCCCGGCCCCCGGATGGTACATTTTCTAACTGAACACAAGCTGACCAGTGCAGGAACTGTACACTGGAACAAAGCAGAAATTCCAAATGAAAACTTTCAATTTCAAAACAAAGAACTGCATAGCAAAGAAAAGCCAACTGGTGCTGCTGACTTCAACATTTCACCATGACAAAAATATTAACAATAACCCTCAACAACATGGAAGCCGGAGATGGAAATTCTCAACAACAAAACTAAATGTGGAGTACATGCTGTTGATGTTATGCAGCAACTATGATGTCACTTGAAATACAGAGCATTGGCCAGTGGTTATCATTATCCTAAACATGTGATGTAGTTTGATAGTGTACACAGAAAATAAAAAGTGCAAAATATCACAGAGAAATTTTCTTTAAGAATTGGGACTGGCACTCATAAGAGATCATTTACAGCAGAGAAAAAATATTTCTGCCCAGGGAACTATGTAAAAAAATTCTGGAGCACATTGGTGAGCTGACAGGTGAACAGGCAGGCACAGTATCACAAAGATCTACTATGACAACAGGAAAGCCAAAAAGATGTCATCTGTGCCCTGCAAGAAAGGACAGGAACAGAAAATATATTATCAGTGTAAGCAATACTTGTGTATGGAACATAATGGTTGTTATGTGTGAAGACTGCGTTGGGTGTGACAGAGGAAAGCGCATTTCTGTGGTACACTTTCATTTGGGTTTACGCTGTAGTTCATTTAGATTTTTATTTTTGTGTTATCGTTTAGGCTTTGTGAACAGCTGATGTGAAAATGACTAATCACCCATTACATGCTTGACAATGTATTTTACTGACATCTTATTTCCCTGATAAGCGCGTGTTGTACAGTATGGAAGCTCTCAATGAAACAGGAAGAGAAAGGAGGTGAGAGGACTACCACGCAGGAGAGAAAAGCTAAGCACGAGTGTCATCAGTGTAAGCACAGCACACGCAGGAACCCGCCGCTGTCATATACGAAGACTGCCCTGGCTGTGCCGGTTGAGGCTGAGCTTATTTTTGTGGTAGAGTTCTACTAGTACTCTCATTGCAGTTCACAGAAGAGTTTATTTATGATGCCTTTTAGGTTCTCTACAAAAGTACACAGCCGATGTGAAGATGTTGATGTCTATTCACAATGTACAATACACATTAAGAATTTAATGTCATTGATATTTTATGTTCCTGTTTACTACACATTATTATAGTAAGAACCTCCTGAGAAAACAGCAAGACCACTGAGATGTTAAGTATGTCCTAAAAAGGTCAGGAAAACAAAGGATATGCCGTCAGTGTAAGCAATTCGTGTATGTGGAACATGTCATTGTCATGTGTGCAGAC